CTGTGGTGTGGGTGGTTGGCGGGTGCTCTGATGTGGCTTTCCTCCTTCTTTCTATTAAAAATATACAACATTCTACCGTCCCCATCTCTCCTTCTTCTATTTTGTGTTTGTTACTCTCTTGTAACACCTCTAATCTTCGGCACTTATATGACCTTATCGTGTTGCAAGTGCCGTAAAACTCTTACTAAACTAAAACTAAACCTCATATCCCTCCTCTGTCTTTTCTTTGTACGTTACTCTTTAATTAATAGCACCTAGAATCTTGGCAACTTATACATAGATAGGACGTATGTGTGTTGCAAGTGCCATTCTATAAAAATCTTTCCTGGACTCAAACAGGCCTTCCGTTGTAACCCAAGTAGGTGTTGCGCAAGGGTACAGTATTACAATGTAAGAAAAAAGCCTTGTAATATGTTTACATTTTTAAAAAGATTTGTGTAAGAAATTTTTAAAAAAATATTTATTTAACAGAAGTTGGACACGCAGTTATGACGTAGAGTGGGTGGTTGGCGGATGTTCTTCGACACTTTTGACCTTATTGTGTTGCAAGTGACGTAAAACTCTTACTAAAACTAACTCTGACGTAGGTGAGAGAGATTGAGAAGGAGATCCTATTGCTCCAGCTATTCCAGAAGAGATCGTTTGTTATTTATTTGATATTGTCAGAGTCGGCGGTCTGGGAACGATAGTCTGGTGCTGGTGGAGGTGGAGGTGGAGGTGGAGCGCCGCCGAGATTGTTTTCAGTTTTGTAAGTGTTTTACGGCACTTGCGACACAATAATGGTCATACAAGTGCCGAAGATTAGAGGTGATACAAGAGAGTAACAAACAAAAAACAGGAGAAGGAGAGATAAGGAAGATAGATGTTTGATAGGAAAGAAGTAGAAGTAGCAAACCACACCAGAGCACCCGCCAACAGCCCTCACTAAGATTGTGCGGTAGAAATACAAATGTTTGTTTTTTACGTTCACACCGGCTATTTTGTACCCCCCCCTCTCTCTCTCTCTC